CTTCATGAATTATTAATGAGTTTTTTTAACTTAATATGCATGCTATACAAGTCAGAAAAGTACCATACCTGCACCTATATACAATATCTACCACGAGGAGAATAACAAGTATACAGCAGACCAGCGGTATCACCATGACAACGATTTGTAAAGTCATATCACAGCTAAACAAGCGTGATCCCTTAAAACCGCTCGATGCTCCATTGTTGGATGTGTTCCACTGAGTTGTTTGTGTTGTTTTTCTTGTTGGTTTGTCTGGTTTTGTATTTGTTGGTTTATTTGTTTGCAGAGGTTTAGTTGGTGGTGGTTTAGTAGTGGTTGTCGGGTTAGTAGTGGTTGTTGGTAGTTTTGTCGTCGTAGCCAAAGGKGTCGTCGTAATCTCTGAAAATGAATTAAAAACGATTGTTTTATCTTAGCATAGGTATATACGAATAACATGAACTTTTTTTGTTATATTTTAAGCTTTTCATTATAATAAATTAACTTTAGAATTACTAAAAACATAAAGATTTTCAGAAGAAGTCTTCTGTCATCTTCATGCATCTAAATAGATATAATATACTGGTCGACGTCAGTCCTTCGTCGGAGTAAAAGAGAAAATGAGAAGAGAAAAAGTATAATTTATTGAGGGGATGATGTGATCGGGTGAAATGTCGACAGACCGAAACTTAGTCCGAAACGTCAGGATGAAGTTACAAACTTTATTTTGGTTTGGTCATTATAGCGAATATCATAAACATTGTTTCTGATGCGATCGCCCGAAACGTCTGCCTAAAAGTTTGCCGACATATAAATGGTTACAACGTGGTACAATCAAAATGGTCTGTGTTAGTAAGAGTAGAGTTGTATTCATTTGTTGTGTTCTACACACCAGTCCTCCAATGCAGCTAGTTACCGATAGTCATTACCAGTTTATCTGAATAGAATGACAGCACCATGTGAAGTTCCAAGCAAGGTTCTAAAATGGTTGATTTTTTACATTTAAATTATTCTCAAAAAGTATTCGTTTTTACTTACTGGTTGGCATAAAAACCCTGTACTGTGCTCGAAAACCATTGCCATTGCCCCATATATTCGTGCTAARCACAAACTCTACGTCACTCGTCGCTGTCAGCATTGGGTGCCGATTCCCACCAAAAGTAGCAGTGTAATTAAGTAACCCGTTGACAATTTTGTAATATTTTAAAGTATCGTTTCCAAGCAAAGAGAAGTTCGTAAAATGAACATGTACGGTGTGATTAGTAGGAACGTTTATCCTCCACGAGCACAGCTGTCCATCCGGGTATTTACCAGGGWAGCCAGGGGACTGGAAAACACCTTCCTTGTCTGTCAGAGTGTAATTGCAACCTAATATAAAATGAACATAATTCATAACTATTTATCTTGTTTAGTATATTCGATCATTAACTGAAAAAATGAGTGAMTCCGATAAATCAAGAAATTTTATTGTAAAAGGTGAAACAATGATTTGCAGCTTAGCAGAGTTGAAGGAGTTGGTTTGTCCACTCCATGAACCAAATCGGTCTCTATTTCTAAGGTTACTGAAAACGTTATATGCAATATGCAATATTTCTGCGCATCCTAATAAAAATAGGCAGGGAGAAGTAGGTAAGTGTTAAAAAGGCTTCGACTACATTAAAACCCGGACAAAAATAAAGGAAAAAACCCTAGGACTTTTCAAAAATCTCTGGAAAAACAGAAAGCATTTACTACAGACATTTACTGTAATATACTGACACTCAGCAGCCTGTTTTTTAAATAAGTATAAGCACTTGCTTACTTTCATAATAGCAGTAATACATGGTGATCCCTTTATTCTTGATGTCACCAATTTCATAAAACGGAACTGCAGTTCCAGACTTCTGATAAGACCTGTCTTTATAATTTCCTGTGTGGTACTTGATCCATTCAGTTGTTGCTACCATCCATTCGACTTGTTGACAGTCTCGTGACCCATAAGGCAGCAGATAAAAGGGTTTAGTTATCGGTAACGAGATTGGAATTTTTTCGTTACCACTTGTTTGACAAGAAAAATGTAAATTGATTGAATGATACCAGTTGTCAGTAAAGTCCTTAACATATTTGGTTGAATGCCGGTAGCTATAGTCCATATCATACATTCGAATCCTTCCCCCTGGTTGCTTTCCACGTTCGTAAATACAGTATTGTCCTAGAAGAAAAAAAACTGCTATTGATATGCGACCTAACAAAAGTGGGGGAAAATCGATAGCAAATTCTAGGCTAAAATGCATTGGTCAAATCCAGCTAGTGGTCTATCATCAATGCTGCGTTCTGATTGGATGAGGTACTACTAGGCAAGAGAATATGAAGTAGTTGAATTTGACTAAAACGACTAGTCCTCTCGCCCTCATGCTGCTCATGGGCTGGTGACTCGTAGTCCATTMGKGCCCGGGAATAATTGCTAATTATTTAATCTTACCTGGTGGCCATTTTATCGAAGATGGTTTAACTTCAGTTCTTTTAACACAAAAGTACCTCARGACGAAGTCTGGGTCAACATATTCTTCCATATTCAAGGTCTGTGAGGCCTCAATGTTTGGATAATTGTCGTCTGTGGTTTGAAAGATAAATCCTCTATCAGTCAATCCCCTGTATTCCAGTCTGTATGACCATCTGTTGTTCCCATATTTATATTTCACTCTAGTTTTTTTCCATTCTTTGTCTGTCCATTCTTCAGGACAGCCRGTTGTAGGTTTTAACAGACCATACTTTCCATCCGGCCAGCTAGTCAAACCTATAAGTCATTAAAAATCAAGATTCAAACTGAATATTACAAATGTTACAAAACAGCTTTATGTAATTGACGACTATTAAAACTCCAATGTATGAGGGCTTAGCTTCAAATCTTAGCTTCTGTTTTTRTGAATATGTTTTCTTGAACATTTTATTACCAGTTTGTCTGTGTATATATTTACGACTATATCATGACATCATCTAATTTCCAAAATGTAATTTTTGAAACACAAACGATGTTCAATCCATGGCTACAAATAGTCTTCTCTTCAYGCACGTTTGCTKGAACCAGCAACGAACGATCGAGCTTTTGCGAAAGTGGTTTTTTATAAATATACTAATGTATACTAGAATATACAAGCCGTACTTTTGTTACTTGTTTCAAACATCTCAGTGTGGTATTGACTTACCAGTGATATATCCATTCTGCAGAAGAAGGATAAGAATGGCTGGATAACTAAAAGCGCACACCATTGTATCTTACCAAGTATCTGGTATCTTACCAAGTGCAATAAGTCTTACCTGATTAGAAACTTATTCGTGTTTCTTAAACATGTCAGCTTCACATTGACGTTTTGAGGCTTTTGAAATTAGGTTTCGAGTCATAACTTCAGCACACGTTCCTAAAGTGTACATGGGTGGGGTGGGTGGGGAGGATTACCAAGCTTTCCCTTTCCAACCCTTCTTAACATGAGACCGTTATATAACTAGAAAAATAAATACAATAAACAAGGGAATGACAAACGGTTTATAAAAAAAAAGATAACTCCTAAAATCTAAATAATATTTTGGCAAAATGATATCATAAATCTTTATTTTTACCCCACCCCCTTTTCTAAGGATCTAAAAACAGCAAGATCAATCGATGTCACATTTTGATTTATTTGCGACACCATGCAAAGGTAGCTTAATTATTTTCGCTTTGATCTTGCTACAACGTCACTGATATTTTGATAATCAACAGTACTGACATTTCGGATGTTGGTCCTTCGTCGAAGCCGAGTAAAAAGAGCTTTAAAAAGAAACTGTTGTCTTTCATTACGGATTAATTGGGATAATGAAATCGTTCCTTCTTTGTGTGAGGATATGATTTAAGCTTTTTTTTAATCCCTGATAAGCTACGCAAGCGTTTCGCGTTTCACTTTCGATTATTTGTTCGAAACAATCAAGGAAAAATTATGATT